AATCATAGTAGGAGACTGTAACACCGCACTGACATCACTGAATAGATCTAGAAAAAAAATTAACAAGGAAACAGTGATCCTAAATAACACACTAGATCAGATGGAATTAATTGACATTTACAGAACATTTCACCCCAAAGCTACAGAACAAACATTCTTCTCAAGTGCACAATGGGATATTTTTGAAACAGGAATTTTAGGAATTTAAGATAAGACAGGTTTAGGAAATTTTAGAAATTTTGGAAATTAAGGGGACCATGGAGGAAGCACAGGGCTGCAGAGCAGCAACAGGTACATTTCCATAGAATGAGTGAGCTGGGAACAGCAAAAGGTCTTTATTTACAAAATAAAGGGAAGGAAGCCCTTCATTCAGGAGGAGAAATCCCAAAGGGAACAGGAAAACAATAAGGAAGGAGGGGGTGGGGAGAAGAACCTCACATGTCCCATGTGAGGTTCAACCTGTGAGCCCAGAAGTTACTATAGTAACCAGTCTAAGGAATAGTGACTAATCAGAGGGATATCAAGGCACCAGGCTCTATAGCCTTTATAAGCCATGGGGAAAAGGAACTCAGTGGGACCCTTTTTCCCCTCCTTACTAGGGAGTCCCTTCTGTGGGACTTTCCCCTCTCCCCATGTGGGAATCTGTATTTCTTCAATAAATCTCCACCTTTGCTATGCCACTTTCTGTACATGGATTCATTCTTCAGTTCCAGCAGACAAAGAATCCGGGTTCCAGTTCAAAAATTCCATATCATTTTCAAAAACAGACCACATGTTAGGACACAAAATAAGTCTCTATAAGTTCAAGAATATTGAAATCATATCAAGCATCTTCTCAAGTCACAATATCATGAAATTAGAAATCAACTACAATAAAAGCACTCAAAACATTTCAAATACATGGAGGCCAAGTAGCATGTTATTAAACAATGAATGAGTTACCAAAGAGATCAAAGAATAAATTAAAAACATCCTGGAAACAAATGAAAATGAACACATAACAACTGCAAATCTATGGGACACAGTGAAAGCAGTCCTAAGACGGAAGTTCATCGCATTATAGGTCTACCTCAAAAAACAAGAAAAACATTTAATAAGTTATCGAACACTACAACTTAAAAAAATAGAAAGAGAACAGTAAGAAAAGCCTAGAGTAAGTAGAAGAAAGGACATAATAAAGATCAAAGCGGAAGTAAACAACATAGAAACTTAAAAAAAAAAAAAGTCAATAAAACCAAGAGATGGTTCTTTGAAAAGATAAACAAGATTGATGAGCCCTTGTCAGACTCATCAAGAACCCAAATAAATAAAATCAGAAACAAAAGAGGTGAAGTAACCACTGATCCCACAGAAATACAAAGGATGGTTTAAAAAAAATACTATGAATTACTATTTTCCAACAAACTGAATAACCTGGAAGAAATAGTCATATTCCTAGAAAAATACAATCTTCCAAAACTCAATCAGGAAGAATCACAAAACATGAATAGGCTGATAACTAATAGTGAAATTGAAGCAGTAATAATAATTAAAAAAAAAAAAAAAAACCTCTCAGGAAATAAGAGTACAGCTTTTTTTTTTTTTTTTTTTTTTTTTTTTTGAGTCACTTTCTGGTACATGGATTCATGCACATACAAAGGAAATTAAATAGAAGGTGGCTGGTGGGGCTGCCCTGGGCAAGACCGGCTGGACATGCACTGGAGCCAACCTCCCAGGGTTCCTCCCCAGCCAGCCTCAACTAGGGTGGTGCCAGGGCTTGAAGGGCATCTGTGGAGTGAGTGAGGGTCCCTCTTGCAGGTGGGGTCCCTCAGCCTGGCCTGTGGGGATCAGGCCAAAACAGGCAGTCCAACATCCCCCAAGGGGTCCAGGAGTGCCAGAGGGCACTCTGCAAAGCTCCTGTGTTGAACTTCTTCCCCCTGGTGATCAGTGCACATCATACCTACTGGGCAGTCAGCTGGTTGCCTAGCTTTGCATATATATACTAGAGGCCTGGTGCATGAAATTCGTGCACAGGATATGTGTATATGTCCCTCAGCCTAGCCTGCACCCTCTCCAATCTGGGACCCCTCGATGGATATCCAACTGCTCTCTCACAATCCAGGACTGCTGGCTCCCAACTGCTTGCCTGTCTGCCTTCCTGATTGCCCCTAACCACTTCTGCCTGCCAGCCTGATCACCCCCTAACACTCCCCTATCAGCCTGATTGATGCCTAACTGCTCCCCTGCCAGTCTGATTTCCCCTAACTGCCCTGGTCACCCCTGCCTCCTCTGCCAGCCTAGTCACCCCTAACTGCCCTCCCCTGCTGGCCATCTTGTGGCGGCCATCTTGTGTCTACATGGGGGCAGCCATCTTGTGTGTTGGAATGATGGTCAAGCTGCATATTACTCTTTTATTAGATGGGATAGAGGCCTGGTGCATGGGTGGGGGCCAGCTGGTTTGCCCTGAAAGGTGTCCTGGATCAGGGTGGGGGTTCCCCTGAGGCATGGGGCAGCCTGGGTGAGGGGCCTGTGGTGATTTACAGGCTGGCCACACCCCTCAGCGACCCAAGCAGAGGCCCTAGTATCTGGGATTTATTTATCTTCTATAATTAAAACTTTGTAGCCTTGAGCAGAGGCCAGCCATGTCAGTGCAGGCGGAAAGCTTGGCTTCCTCCATCACTAGGGAAACCCAAGCCTCCTGCTCACTCTGTGGCCACAGCCATCTTGGTTGGGTTAATTTGCAGACTCAATCCTGATTGGCTGGTAGGCATGGCTGGTGGGTGTAGTGGAGGTATGGTCAATTTGCATATTACTCTTTTATTATATAGGATAGATTTTATTTTTTAATTTTTAAAATATATTTTATTGATTTTTTACAGAGAGGAAGGGAGAGGGATAGAGAGTTAGAAACATCAATGAGAGAGAAACATTGATCAGCTGCCTCCTACAAGCCCCCACTGGGGGGATGTGCCCGCAACCAAGGTACATGCCCCCAATCAGAATCAAACCTGGGACTCCTGAGTCTGCAGGCCGACACTCTATCCACTGAGCCAAACTGGTCAGGGCTAGATCTTATTTGTTTACCACGCCACTTAAAAAATAAAATTACTGGACCTGGCCAGAGTGGCTCAGTTGGTTGAGCAGCATGCTGTGCACTGAAAGGTTGATAGTTCCATTCCTAGGCAGGGCACATTTGATCCCAGGTCCCAGCATGTATGAAAAGCAAGTGATCCTTTTTTTCTCTCTCACATTGATGTTTCTCTCTCTCTCTTTCCCTTCCTCTCTCTAAGCATGTCCTCAGATAAGGATAAAAAAAATTAAAATTTACATAACATACAATTTTTAAGTGAACAGCTAGCTCAGTTGTATTAATACACTCACAATATTGTACAACCACTACCTCTATCTAGTTGTGAAGCATGCATCTTATATAAAAACTGCTATCTGGCTTCTGTAAATGCTTGCTTGCTTGCTTGCTTGCTTAAATAATAAGGAAAATAAGACTACTCCCACTTCAGAGAGACCATTAAACCTTCCTTGAATGAGCCTTTGGTTGAGGTCTCAAGGCCCCAGCACATAGGGGCTCTTTAAGAACTTGCACAGAAGGCCAGAAACACCCCATATTTGGGAGACAAAGAAAGTAAAAACATATAAATAGGGAAAATTCCTCCATGTTGGGGCCCAGAATATAAGAGACATTTTCCTCAAACGTAACTCCATCTCTCTAAGTATTGCTTGGTTCTTCTCCGGTTTTCTGTAATAGTTCCATCACTCAAAGTAAAACCCTTTATCTATTAAGTGGTCTCTCCTCATTCCCCCTCTACTCCAGCCCCTGGCAAACACCAATCTGTATTATGTCTCTATAAATGTATCTATTCTGGATATTTTATGTAAATGAATCATACATTTTGTGTAACCTTTAGTGGCTGGCTTCTTTCATTTAACATAATTCTTTGGAGTTTCTTGAGTCACTTTTTAACTGTTTCATTTTGTTAAACTGTTTTCTGTCACATAATGGGATCCCTGGTTACCCAACCTGTCTGAACAAAATTTAGTTAAACAATCAACAATATTAACAGTAGTATGTAAACAGCAGTGATATCTTAAGGATGGTGATAAGCAGTAATCAGGCAAGTTGGAGAAATGTTATGAATCCAATGCTTAAAACCAGAAAGGCACAGTACAGACAAAAGTTGCCCACCTCAAAAGCGTTTCTAGCTGAATTATTTTGTTTTGTAGATTGGATGTTTGCTAAGCTTTTATAAAGATAGATATTTTAGACAGGAACTGAAAAATTATGGCAGTACACTTAAACGCACACCCAAAATGTCTACAACAAATGCTATTTTAACCTTACAGGAGTATTATAAGGATCTATCCTCATTTTATCCCTCTCTCTTCCTTTCTTACTTTGCATCTGATTGTTGCATAGTACAAAATAATTTATATCCTAACTTCAGCTGCCCTTTGCAAGCTTTGTGAACAAATAACTTCCGAGCTTGTCTCCTCATCCAAGAAACAGGAGATGATGACGTTCCACTGGAGAGCTGGGTGAGGTCCTGGTGAAAGGGAAATGCACAGGCTCTGGGTAGGTATAGTTCGCGCCTTAAATCCACTTCCACCTTCTCGGTGAACACGCCCATTTTTTATTAGAATTGCAGCCAAACAACACTTTTCCCGTCTGCCTTCCTTCATGGACTGTCGGTGTGTAAACGCTAGTCCTACTTGCCATATAGCAGAGACTCTGCAGGCAGGCAGACGCCAACGAGGTCCGAGACAGCGCTGTTTTGGTTTGAAAACCTGGGACTCGGCCAGGGCAGCCCTGACGCCAACCCGCAGACTCGAGACGCGCCGCAGCGACCGGAGCCCAGGCCCCGCCCCCTGCGCCCATTGGCCCATTCAATTCACGCCGGCACCAATGGGCGGAGGCGTCGGCGCGCCTCTCCCGCCGTGCGTGGTCCGCCGGCTTTAGCTAAAGGGACCCGGCGCGAGCGGAGACGCCTCCTCCGCTGCGCCCTGCGATGAGCACCCCGGCGGTCCCGGGCGACCTGCAGCTGCCCCCGAGCCAGCGGGCCCGGCCCGCGTTCAGAGGTGAGCGCCGCGGGGCGTGTCCGCGCGGCCCGGCGAGAGGCTCGGGGCAGCCGGGTGAGGGTGGAAGGGCCGGCCCAACGGCCAGGACCGGGGTCCTCAGACCCGCTTCCACCCCGGCTCTCAGCGGGTCGCTCGGCCTCTCCGGCGGCATCAGGGCGGAGCGGGACCCGCCCGGGGCGGCGGTTGGCGGTGGGTCACTCCGCGTGGCCGTCCTGGCGCGGGGCGCAGCCCGCCGGCGCGGAGACCGGCTCAGGTCCGGACGGCGTTTGCCCGGGGCGCGCGGGGCTCCGGGCGGAACGGCCTGCGGGGCGGGCCCGCGGGGCCGGCGGCCTGGGCGCGGGAGCTGGTGGCCCGCTCCGGGCGCTCCCGCCGCTCGCGTCGGGGGTCAACGCCTCCGAGGGATCGTCTCCTCTGGTGCGCCCTGTCCGACGCCCGGGACTCTGTGGAATGGAGGGTTGGCTAGGTCCTCAGAAGTAATATAGCTGTTTCTGTACTTGGGAAATATAGCCTGCACTTGGGAAAACAGCAGAGAAGTGTCCCCCAACTCAATTATGGTCAATTGAAGCTCGGGGTCTAGGGGCTTCACCTCTACCGTTTGTTCCCTGAAGCTTGCCTTTCAGTAACCATATGTTGAAAATTAGGTTCTCCAGATGTTTCATTTCAAGATAGAAGGCGATGCGATTCTGTGCAGAGAGTGGTTGTGGGACCAGTCCTGTAATAATAGGATTTTCCAAAGGCAATACTAAATACTGGGCGATTTTCTGCTGTCTGTAAGATGTGATGTTAAGTAGAACATGTGTCGAATTAAAATCTTCATTTAGTCAATATTTATTTGATGTTGTAACTAATGTTGACTTGTAGCTGTTTTGTTATTCAGAGCAAAGAAAACAAAAACTCAAGGAGCATCTGTTAAAAAGAAAAACATTTTTTGCATACAATCAGGAAAATCAGAAATTCTCCAGGTGAGGTAAAAACAACAACATATTCTTTTTCCAATTGGTAAAACTTATATCAGATCTTTCCAATAAAAATGTAATGTAAACCACAAGTGTAATTAAAAGTTTTCTAGTAAGCTCATTTTTAAAGTGAAATGAATTTTTTTAAAAATGTTTTATTGGTATTAAAGAAAGAGGAAGGGAGAGGAGGAGAGAGAGAAACATCAATGATGGAAAAATTGTTGATTTCTGGGGATCTAGCCTTGCAACCTGGGCATATGCCCTGACCCGGAATCAAGTGACCTCTTGGTTCATGTTCAATTCTCAACTACTGAGCAACACCAACTGGGCTGAAATAAATTTTAACCAGTTAACTACCATGCGTCCAAAACGGAAATCATCCCCACAAGCCACAGTATTTTGAATTTAATTTTTAAAAAATCAACTTGGCAGTTAATATAAAAATAAATATATTACAATTCGAGTGTCTTGAATATTTTCAGCTAAAAATTCTCACCAAAAAAAGATTTTAAAGTTTATCAGGGCTTGCCACTTAGGGAAAACATGTTTTTTTAATAGACACGTGTGGTGTGTGGGGAAGATCCTCCACTTGACTGTAGACGCTTAGGGGGTACAAAGGGTAAATAACATTTTGCTCAATGCAATATATCCTGTGTTGTCATTTTAACATGTAATACTTAAAAAATTGAAATATTTTATATTCTTTTTGGTAATAAGTTTTCAAAATCTGGTCTGTTTTTAATACTTTCAGCCCACCTCAATTTGGACTAGCCACATTGTAAGTGCTCAACAGCCACTTGTGGCTTAGTGGCTACCTTTTTGGATTGTACAGCATCAGATCACCAATTCTTGTGTAAATTCGCACTCTTAAGAGGAAACAATTTTAAAGCAAAATGTGTATTTTTATCAAAATATTGACACGGTTTATATAGTGCTACAAAGGCCAGTCTTTGTATAATTTAACAAGGTTTTAGAGTATGTGTGTGGGGTGTGGGAGGTGTTCTTTGGGAGGTGCCCCTCCTAAATGTTTGGAAATCATTTGTTTTAATCTCAGTGATCCATAGGAATATATTTGTATTGTTTTGTTAAAAATTTTGAAATAGTACATGGTTGTAACAAAAACAAAAACCCTTAAAGTATATAAAGAAGAAAGTCAAAAGGTCCCCTCACTCTTTCCAAGTAACTGGTAGTGACATTCTTCCAGCCTCTTTGTGCAATTTCAGAGTATGAGGTTAGAGTGATAAGGACCTGGGCTGGAACATGTAAGTCTGCCACTATAATTATAAACCTCGGGGCAGGGAATTGGGGGGGTGAGGGGGAGTAGTACCTGGTCTCTTTGAGTCTGCTTACTTATATTAAAATGATAATAAAAAATTGTATGTACTCCACACATACGCATGTTCAGAAAGAGTGCAAATGATAATGCAAGTGGAATAAAACGTTAGCAGTAGGCAAATCTGAGTAAAGAATATATGGATATTCTTTGAACTATTTATAATTTTGTAATGTTATGTAAGTCTGCCATTATTTCCAAATAAAAACTGTTTAAGCTTTTAACTTCACATTTATAAGTTGCTTTACTTTAGAATAAACATTTTCATAAATCCCACAGTTCCTTGTTTAAAGAAAAAAAGAATGATCTTAGGCTTTTGATTTAAATAACTGAGTCTGTAGTGAAACCATAATTTGAAATGGGAAGACTTAGGTGTAGGAATGGAGAGTTTGACCCTAAATTGGCATGTTGTAGATTCATGCTTTAGACTGGCAGGAAGAGTGTACCAGAGACAGGCTAGTAGTCTTTGGTGGAGGAAAAATAGGTTAATTGTTATTGAGATTGTTTCTAGCCCTGACCAGTGTGGCTGATTAGAGTGTTGACACATGCACTGAATGGTCTTGAGTTTGATTTCTGATCAAGGGTATATTATCTGGATTGTAGGTTCAATCCCCAGTCCCAGTTGGGACATGTGCAAGAGGCAACCAATCAGTATGTTCCTTTCACATCAATGTTTCTTCATCTTCCTCTTCCTCTCCCTCCCTCTCTTTCCTCCCTCCCTTTCTCTCTCCCCCCAACCTCTCGCCCCCCTCCCTTCCACTATCTCTAAACAAAACAATGGGAAAAATATCCTCGGGTCAGGATTAACCAAGAAAATTAAGATTGCTTCTAATTTTGTCAGTCAGATAATATTACAGTACATTGTAAGCCCAGAAGTAATAGAATCTGAAGTGGTCTTATTAGTGAAGGTTGCCTTTGGAGCAACCAGGCAGGTTGACCCTGAGCATCATCTCCCACCCACACTATACAGCTAGCCAGGTAGTAACAAGAAGAGTATTTGCCATCAGGAATTGAATACAGGAGCTTAAATTTGAGAACTGTTGCTGTGCTCTAGGCCACTGGCAATGCTTAGAAGGAATGAGAAGCACCTAGTTCAGTAGCACATTCTGACAGGAGCACATTTTGATACTTCTCTGCCATCATTGAAATGGGTAGTACAAGCTGTTTCAAAGTTCTGCTTCTTCAAGCAGACTAAGCAAATAGTTATTAAGCAAATAGATGTGAAAGGTTTAACAACCATAATTATCAGCTATATAGATTGCAAATTTTTTATGCTACAATATACTTTTTTTCCCCATTTTTACATCTGAACTTGTTTTATCTTAGAATCAGTGGCATCTAATTGACCCTATTTTTTCCTGACTAAAAAATTCTCACAGTCTATACTAGTCTAAATATGTAAAAAGGAGTTTTAAGTCAAATAAAAGTTTTGCATATGACAAATAAATCTCTCAGTTCTTAGGTCAATTTAAAATTATGAAGTCAGGTAATAGTTAATATTTTTCCATTCCTTCTCCAAAAAAGGAAATCTTTTTGGTATGGGGTTTAAAAATTCTTTTTCTTGTCGAAACCGGTTTGGCTCAGTGGATAGAGCATCGGTCTATGAACTGAAAAGTCCTAGGTTCGATTCTGGTCAAGGGCATGTACATTGGTTGCGGGCACATCCCCAGTAGGGGGTGTGCGGGAGGCAGCTGGTCTATGTTTCTCATTCATCGATGTTTCTAGCTTTCTATTCCTCTCTATAAAAAATCAATAAAATATATTTTTAAAAAGAAATTCTTTTTATTTTTATTTTTTTAAGTAGTAGAAACAAGGGAATAGTGACATCCAAGAGCCCGGTCCAAGAAGAGACAAAAGTTCTGAAACTTAAGACAAAAATGGTAAGATGTGAACATAGTCCTCAAAACTGTTCCTTTTCTCCTTTCCTTCTATTAAACTCTTTCTGAAAGATATGAATTCTGAAATACTAATTTGTTTCATTTTACTCTTTTAGGCTGATAAAGAAAATGTCCATAGACCTACGAGCAAAAGTAATATAACAATGGAAAAAAATTGTATTCCGTTAAAACCTTCTAATGAATTGACCAGTTCAACTATAGCCACTGATACATGTAACTTGGAGAATAATCAAACTCTGCAGTTGTTACCAATTACAAATGCTCACCAAAGTCAACGTATGACATTAAGCCAAGCATTTCACATTAAAAACAATAATAAAAAGAAGCCAGTGACTACAGAAAAACCAAAGCAAGATGCTAACGTGCTCAAGAAACCTGTGCTTGGATCTTACCGTGGCCAAATTGTTCAATCTAAGGTTAATTCATTTAGAAAACCTGTACAAGTCAAAGATGAGCATTCTGCAACAACAAAAAAACTTTCAACTATCTCTAAGGCCACAAAACCTCAGCCTGTAAACACCAGCAATGTAACAGCAAAAAGTCACCAAGCCTCAAATATGACCACTAAATTTGTGAGGTCTGCATCTCAGAATGAACAACTTTTACGTCCTCCTATTAGAAGTCATCACAGTAATACTCTTAATACCCAGGAATCCCTGAAACGAGGCATTGCCAATGTTACAATTCGGAAAGGGTCTCATGAGAAAGAATTACTACAATTAAATACAGTTTTACCTAGTGTCAAAACCATTTCTTCTCAGGAAGTAAAAAGAAATAAGACAGTATCAAGAAGCATCACATCTGAAATGATAGCTAGGCCTGCTTCATCTAATATCAAACAGATAGAAAAGTCAAAAACCATTGACCAGTGCAGACATACTATGGCAAAAGCAACTATCAACAGTAGAAGGCCTCAGCCCAAAGAAACTGTAGAAGAAAGAAAGTAAGTAATTGTAATTCATTAGCTGAATTTTCAGATTTGTGATTTGGTTTATAAATCCCTTTAATGTATTAGAATTTTTTGTGTGTGTATTCTCTACTGTCATGTGCCAACAAATTTAAGCAAATTTATATTGTGGAATAGTATGACCTGAGTTACTGTGTTTGAATGTTTTTATAGGTTGTTTTATGTAACATAAATTAAAATTCTTAATGAAATTGGGAAGTATTTTATAACCTATCCATTTAAAAATTCATTCTTTAGGCATATAATTCACTTTGATATTTTAAAAAAAATTTTCTTCAAATTTGTAAACCATTTCTTGCCACTAGCATGGAACCACTTAAAGGTTTGAAATATTTTTTAACTTTTCCTCTATTTGACAATGCTATCAGCAATATCACAGTAATGTACTACTTATAATTATAGAGCTCGTCTGAGTGAGTGGAGAGCTAGCAAAGGAAAAATGCTGAAAAGGCCTCCTAGCTCAGTAATAACCCAGCCTGAATCTGAAGGGCAGAATGAAAAACCAGTTGGGTCATTTTGGACTACCATGGCAGAAGAAGATGAACAAAGATTATTTACTGAAAAAGTAAACAAGACATTTTCTGAATGCCTAAACCTGATTAATGAGGTAGTGTCTTTGTTATATTTGTGTAGTAGTTTATAGTTTGCAAATTATTTTCATAAATATTCCATTAATTATATTGTCAGTCTTTTTTTTACCAAGTAATGTGTCACTGGTGTTATGTATACTTACTGTTAATTATGAGATTATTTCTCTTTGGCCTTTATTGGGCTGCATTTTTACCCTAGCCGGTATAGCTCAATGGATAGAGTGTTGGCCTGTGGGCTGAAGGTTCCCCAGGGTTTGATTCCAGTCAAGAGTACATGTTTGGGTTGCAGGCTCGATCCCCAGTAGGGGGCGTGCAAGAGGCAGCCGATCAGTGATCCTCTCTCATTCGATGTTTTTTTTTTGTTTTTTTTCTTTTTTAAATTTATTTTTAAAAACATTTTATTGATTTTCCACAGAGAGAAAGGGAGAGGGATAGAGAATTAGAAACATCAGTGAGAGAGAAACATCGACCAGCTGCCTCCTGCACACCCCCTACTGGGGATGTGCCCACAACCAAGGTACATGCCCTTGACTGGAATCAAACCTGGGACCTTTCAGTCCGCAAGCCAAAGCTCTATCGACTGAGCCAAACTGGTTTCGTCTATCATTGATGTTTCAATCTCCCTCTTTCTTCCTCTCTGAAACCAATAAAAGTATATATATTTAAAATAAAATGGACTACATTTTCATTGAGTTCATAGAAATATGTCCAGGAATAGATTTTTTTTACTTGAGTTACAAATATTTTTTTTCCTGTATGGTGTTAATAATTTACCAAGTCTAGCAATACAGACTAATCCTTATTATCACAGGTTAAATTCAAATTGACTAAAATATTTTCAGACACTTTAATCTCACCCAACATCATTATGATCTAGATCTTATTGTATTTTATTGTTGGACCAAAATTTGACAGACTATAATAATTAACACCAGAATGTTTTCTTTATTTCCTAACTACTCTTTAATCTTGGCTTTGGTCATACAGTACTATCTTAAGTTCCAGAGCAAGACTGAATGTACAGAGTATGATTTCAAACTTTAGTCTTCGTGAGCATCTTTAAACATTTTGTAGTTTTGAGGACCAATGAAAATTACAATCAGGGAAACTGATTCTATTCTTATTTCTGCTTAACTGGAGTTTTTTATTGATACTATGGAATTTTTCTCCCCTGCTACTTAACTATATATAACTTACCTACATAAACCATTATAGATTCATTTTAACCTTAATATCAAAACCTGACAAGTATAATTTTAAAACCTGTGAGCTATTTTCACTCAGAAACACTCGGTAGGTATAAAAATATATAAATATTAACAAGTGGAATCTACAAGGCCGTGGTGAGCCAACAAGGACGTCACTGAGTCTGACCTTTCCTTCCTGCTCGGACCCCCCAGCAGTCCAAAAATAAGTTACCCTGCACATCTCAGGGGTTGACCTGGGAGAGCCAGCAAACTAGTCACGGCCTGATAAGATGATAAAATCAAGACCAACTAGAGTGTTAGTCATTTTTTACGAATATTTTTCTCAACTAGTATATTATTTTCTTTTGCCTTGTACTTATGACCAATGTGCCTCATACAAGCCATTCAGAATAAATTTGGAGTGAGGAGGATAATAGTGGATAGTTTTATGAACAGTTTTCCATCAACTTTTTCTATCGATTTTTATTATAGTGAGCTTACTTACTTATACTTTGTATACTAAAAGATAACACTGGCTTTATTTCTTGACATTTAGGGATGCCCAAAAGAAGAAGTATTAGATACACTGAATGACCTGATTAAAAATATTCCAGACGCCAAAAAACTTGTTAAGTATTGGATATGCCTTGCACGTGTTGAACCACTCACAAGTTCTATTGAAAATATTATCTCAATCTTTGAGAAGGCCATTCTGGCAGGAGCTCAGGTGAAATTAACACTTATTAATTACAGTGCATGTAAATTATTTAGAATTATTTGAGACATATCACATTGTAACTTAATAAAACTGGTTTATATATATATATATATATATATATATATATATATATATTTATAGTGAATGATTAAAAACCATAAGAATTGCATATTATAAAAGCTGTTTCTCAGCCTTCTAAAACTTGTTCACATGCTAAGGATAATCATATTTTAGGAAATGGATATACTGTAAGCTGAAATGTACATTTAACAAAACTTTCTGGGAGAAATATTTTAGCACATCTTGTCATTTTGCACATTTCCTACTTAAGAAATCTGTGAAATTGAATTTAAATATAAAATTTATTTTTAAATTGTATAGAGGCTTTTTGGTTAGTTTGGCTTTTTGTTTTTATGGGCAAATGTTCCTAAAATATATTTTCTTTGGATGAGTTTCTCAAAAAATACATACTTGAAGATTATTTACAAATAATTTTTTCAAATTCTTTTTTTTAGCCTTAGCCTTTCCTTAAGAAAGGTCTACTCATAATATCAGCAAAAAGCCAACAAATGCTACATGACTTTTTACCTGAATCAGAAATCAAATATTCAGTACATACTTTCTCAGTGGTTATTATGTGTAAAACACTTTGCTGAAGGAAAATTGTATTTGATAGAATCCTACATGAAAGAGAGTGTTAGGTCACTACTATCGATACCTTGAACCAGAAGGAATATTACTTAAGGCAGCTTATGGCAGTATAACTAGGATGTGTAACTGGAGCTAAGGATTCCTATAGAAAGCAACAGTGTAAAGAGAAATATGTGACACTGGAGCAGAAATTGAAAAACAAGGATCAAAATTAGCCAAGAATATTGAAAAGCAGGATGGTGAATAGTTCATGACTAAGTTCTACAACTAAGAATATGAGCCAGAGAATCGATTTTATATAATATCTTGAATTTTATATAGTATCTTGAATATGTTGCATTAGCATACATGGTGCATGGGAAGTGCTCATAGTATCTGGCATATATTGGACACTTAGTGAACTGTTGAATTTTTCAACCTTGAGCTATTCAAAGATGCATTTAATACCATGTGAAACATAAAAATATAACAACTATGTACTCGAATGAAGAGAAAAGGAATAAACTTAATGTAAAGATTAATGTAAACTTAAATGTAATCAGCTCTTTAATAGATATTAATAATATTAATTTGCTCTATCAGGCAAGCAATAATAGTTACTAAAGCCTTAAAAATTTTGAGGGGAAATTTTAAACTGATGAAATTTCATTTCTTAGGTTTATTTTTTTTATTTTATAAATTGGAAAAGACGACCATCTTTTCAATTTGAGTGGCAAAATAAGTGATCTAAGAATCACTGCCTTGTTTTATAATATAAAATTTTATCACTGGATTTAATATTTTAGACTTGGACAATGTAGTGTCTGAGAATATAAACTTACATGTGTCTTCTCTCTTCATTTAAAAAAATCAAGCCTATTGAAGAAATGCGACATGCAATTGCAGATATTCTAGCAATGAAGAGTCAAGAAAAAGTTAAATTTGGTAAGTTAGTTTCGTTTTGTTTTCTTCAAGTGAATTGTGACTTTACTAAATTTCTTTGCTGAATTGTTTTTCTTTAATTTTATTTTTATTTTATTGATTTTGTACAGAGAGGAAGGAAGAGAGATGGAGAGTTAGAAACATCGATGAGAAAGAGTCATCCATCAGCTGCCTCTTGCACACCCCCTACTGGGTGTGCAATGTGATATGCCTGCAATCTTTCAGTCCCCAAGCCAATGCTCTATCCATTGAGCCAAACCAGTCCTGGCTGAATTGTTTTTCTTTTATCATTTTTAATATTTTTTTAATATGTAGGTTAATCTTTTCTCATACATCTGTTAATATACTTCTGAGATTTAATAGCTTTCTGTAGTAAGAATTTTTAATTAGGAGGTCTCATTCAAAACCCAAATGTGGCTGGGAAGGTTACTTTACCTCTATAGAATTTAATTTACTGTCTTAAGATTGAGGCAGTTTCCCTAGACCTCTAAAAACTTTTTGCTTTAATATTAAATTCTACCATAGCCCTGTCCTGCATGGCTTAGTTGTTAGAGCATCAGCCTGTGTCTCTGGTTTGATTTCTAGTCAAAGGCACATAACTGGGTTACAGGTTTGATCCCCAGCCAGGTTTGGGCAGGTGCAGGAAGCAACCAATCGATGTCACATTGATCTCTTTCTTCCTCTGTCTTGTCTCTCCCTCTTCCTCTTTTTCTCCTTCTCTTTTCTCCTACCCTCTTTCCTTCCCCTCCTCCTTTCTACTATTTTAAAAGTCAATGGAAAGAATATCCTTGAGGTGAGGATTATCAAAAAAAATAATAAAATCTATCATGTTTTGTGCTAGAGACATTCATTTAGGAATTTTTTTTTTTTTTTTTTTTTTGCTAGGAATAATTTGAGAGGAAGTAAGAGATTCATTAGTAGCCGAAACCCGTTTGACTCAGTGGATAGAGTGTCGGCCTGCAGACTGAAAGGTCTCAGGTTCAATTCCGGTCAGGGGCTTGTACCTTGGTTGCAGGCACATCCCCAGTAGAGGGTGTGCAGGAGACAGCTGATCGATGTTTCTAACTATCTATCCCTCTCTCTTCCTCTCTTTAAAAAAATCAATAAACAATAAACATTTTAAAAAAGGGATTCATTAGTTATTTGCCAGGTATTTAAAATGCAAATATTTTCCAGATTCAGATATAGGTTTATGCTAGTTACTATGAACTTTTACAAGAAATTTAACCCCTTTTCTGTAAAATAGAATAATGTTAATACTTTAAGATTCTTGGGACCATTAAAAGAAATAATGTAAGGATTGGACAAAATTAGGTTTAAAGTTATGAATATGTGAAACAGTTTATTGTGTTATTACTTATTTGTATTAAAATTGTAAATCTACTTTTGCCCACACCTGTATATAAGAATTAGAGTCCTAGGCACATAGTTCATTAAACTTTAATTATGGGTAATATTAACTATTTTAGTTGAGAGGAGAAATTATATAAGTGTAAGCTAATTTGTTTCCTTTTAAAAAAAATATATTTTATTGATTTTTTACAGAGAGGAAGGGAGAGAGATAGAAAGCTAGAAACGTCAATGAGAGAGAAACATCGACCAGCTGCCTCTTGCACACCCCCTACTGGGAATGTGCCCGCAACCAGTGTACATGCCCTTGACCGAAATCGAACCTGGGACCTTTCAGTCCGCAGACCGATGCTCTACCACTGAACCAAACCGGTTTTGGCTGTTTCCTTTTTTAATAGAGTTATTTCCAATTTTTTAGTATAACTGTGTATCAGCCAATCACAAATATTTGAGCACTTATTACATATCATCATATCATTGTTGCTTATATCTTTTTTTTTTTTTCACTAATTTTATCTTTTATTAATTTTAAAGAGTGTCAGTTTGACCTTTTTAAGGCTCCTGATAACTGCTGCTAAATTGCATTCCAAATTAGTTACAAGTATCCTTATTTTTAATACACAAAGTGAATTTAAAATATAGAGATCTAGGTCATGGGCTAAACTTTATGTAAAATTTAAAATTATACTGAAATTCTAAACGTGTTATACACGTTTTGGTTACATGTTACCAAAAATCTGTTCAGTGATGTTAATAGGTGTATGTCTTAATGGTTAATATCTACATGTGAGCCAAAACCGGTTTGGCTCAGTGGATAGAGCATCAGCCTGCGAACTGAAAGGTCCTGGGTTCGATTTCAGTCAAGGGCATGTACCTTGGTTGCAGGCACATTCTCAGTAGGGGATGTGCAAGAGGCAGCTGATTGATGATTCTCTCTCATCGATGTTTCTAACTCTTTATCCCTCTCTCTCCCTCTCTGTAAAAGAAATCAATAAAAAATATATTTTTTTAAAAAAAACTAAATTTAATAAAATATGTAATGCATGTGAGGGAGTCCTCTTTTACTAGCAGTATGTTTAGTTCAATAGTAAATATTTCAATTGTTGGTTGCTGTCAATATGCCCCTAGGAAAACATACCAATGTTTTTTCTAATGGTGGTAGTAATATTTAATGATAAAACTTGAGAATGAATGGTCAGGGAAGCAGAAAGAAAAACCAGGAAAGTCAACTATACCTTAAACAAAAGAAGGAGAAAAGTTTAAGAACAGCCCAACCTGGCAAAACAATTGAAGGGGATCCAAAAGTATAAACCTCTAGTTATAAAATAAAAAGGCCATGGTGACCATAGTTAATAATACTGTATTGTATACTTGAAACTTGCTAAGAGAATAGATCTTAAAAAAAGTTCTCATCGAAAGAAAGAAAATTCATAATTATACAAATACTGAATCATTATATTGCTATATGCCTGAAACGAATATAATGTTATATTTCAACTAGAAGGCCCAGTGCATGACATTTGTGTACTGGGGAGGAAAGGGGCCCTCTCGCAGTCTGGGACCCTTCCGGGGATGTCCACCTGCTGGCTTAGGCCCGCGCCCCATGCTGCCAAGGAGGCAGAGAGGCTCCCACCACTGCCACTGCGCTTGCCAGCTGTGAGCCTGGCTTCTGGGGGAGCACACTGACCAACAAGGGGCAGCTCCTTCATTGAGCTTTTGCCCCCTGGTGGTCAGTGTGTGTCATAGAGACCTGTTCACTGTTCCTTAGATTTGCATATAAGGATTTTATTATATAGGATTATACCTTTGTTTTTAAAAATTAACAAAAAGAATAACTTAATCCTGTGTCTTACACCCTAAAGACAGCAAAGTGGAAATGAATATTTCATTTTAAAAGCTTCTGCTCTGGCAGGTGTGGCTCAGTTGATTGGGCATGGTCCCATGTACCAAGAGGTTGCCAGTTCAATTCCCAGTCAGGGCACATGTGGGTTTGTGGGCTCGATCCTCAGTAGAGAACATGTAGGAAGCAGCCAATTGATGTTTTTCTTACACACTGATGTGTTTTCTATCTTATCTTTCCTATGGAATGTTTTCTAGCATTTGTCTTTATATGGAAAAAGAAATGCTATCAATAAACTCTTGGCTTCCTGAGATACGTAATTACTAGATATAAAATCAATTTTATAAATTAAGATTATTTGTAAGTAGCATTGGGAAATAGAAGACAAATAATAAGAGAGATGAGCACCACTTGAGTCTCTCAAATACCTCAAGTCCACATTTCCACACTTGAAAACATAATTTTTCTCTAAACCTTCTTTCTTTTGGTTCCCTTTCTCAATAACTGACACTGCCCAGTTATCTACATCAGAAGTCTTGGGATTATATTTCACTGTCTCATTCTCACATCCCCACCTCTGTTCCTCAGCCAATCAAATTTAATTAAACTTTGTAGGCATCTCTTAAAATGCAATTTCTCTTCATCTTTACTCTTATTACTGAAATCAAGATAACCTACAGCTCTATCTGGACTACAACAACAATAGTCTCCTACCTTTCCTGCTTCTCTATTCTTACTCTAATCCATTCTCTACGCTGCATTCAAAATGCCCTGTCACTTCTCTGGGTAAATTCCTGACTCCAGCCTCTTGCCACTCCAATTCCTTCACATCTCCAAATTTCTTTCTTTACTTTTTTTATTTTGTCTCTGGTCTATTCAAACCAGTGTTCTACTTTTAATCTTAATTCCTCTTTATCCTTTAGACCTCATCTCAAATGTCATTCTTTGGGGTAGCCTTCCCTGATAGCCACCTATTCTCCCCCACCCAACTAGGTTAGACACACCTGTTTTCTGCTCCCTGTTTTTTCTCTGTGAAATAATTAATGCACTTGATTGTTTGTCTTTTTTAAACTGTAAACTTGATGGACAAAGACAGTATCTGATCTTTCTCACCATTATACCCCACTGCTAATGCAGTGTCTAACATATGTTAAGGCACTTAAGTATTTGTTGAATTAAAGAATTAATATTCCCTCTCCCCACTTCAACATCTTTTCACTAAAGAAACAAACACCTTCAGCCCTAGCCTGTATGGCTCAGCCTGCCAGCTTGTCTCTCCCCCTCCCACTCTCTCTCAAAATGAATGGAAAAAGATCCTCTGATAAGGATTAATCAAAAAAACAACCCAAACACTCAATTTATCATGTAACTGAAACGTCTCTTAGTAAAAATCTCTAATAATTTCTTATCAATCAATCTGGAGGTCTTCTCTGCTTGATGGACTTACCAGATGTCTCACAAATATTTCACAACTGACATGTTGTATTTTAAACTTTGTCTTTCTCTACTGTTTTGCTAAAACACTATCTCTTCCTCCCAAAAAATAAAGGAAAGAAAAATATTACTCTGTCATTAAAGACTCCAAAGGAAGAAATTTTTGAAGGGATGCCCCAATACAGACATTCATTTATTAACTACCAACAGAAAAAAACTCAACTCAGGCTCTTCCTTCTCACTGCCTACATCTGCCACCTTGCTTAGACTATTAAAACAACTTTTTCTTACCATTACACATTATTAGTTTTCATTCCCTGCCATTCTAAACCATCCTTTATTGTCACCAAATCTAATTGTATCTCTGTCTCTCGTGAAATTTTTTTATTATCAAACTTTTTGCACATAAAGTTCATTATAATCTAAACCTTTTCTCTTTATCTGAACTCATCACCTTACTTTATATTCTAAGCACACTGGCCCTTTAATGTTGTCTTACTAAATCCTTTTTTAAAAAGTAAAATAAATAAACCTTCATACCAAGATTGTCTGTCTTCCTTGGTCTTATCCAAGTACTTATTTTTCAAGACAAAGCATAAATGTTACTCATGACACCTTCCATAGCCATCTTTCTGTCCTACAAGCAAAATTAGTTATTTTTTATGGTTCTTATCTTAATTATAGCCATTTTCTTGTTTTATAGTTATTTTCATGGAATATGAACTTTTTTTTTTTTTTTTTTTAAGATTTTGAATTAATTTTTAAAGAGAGAGAAACATTGATGTGAGAGCAAAACATCTATCAGCTATGTCCTACACACCCCCTATTGGGGATTGAGCCCACAGCCCGGGTATGTGCACTGACCATGAATCGAACCAGCAACTTTGGGGGCACAGGACAACACTCAACCAGCTGAGCCACACCAGCCAGATTGGAATGTGAACTTCTTAAAGAACAGAGATGATTTCGTTCTTATATTTGTATATATAATCCCAGACACACATGTATTAGTGAATATTATTAAATAGCCATAGCCAGTTTTGCTCAGTGGATAAGAGCGTCAGCCCCTGCATGGACTGATTTGAAGGATCCGGGTTCAGTTCCCTGCTGAAGAACATGCATCTCAGTTGCAGACTCGATCCAGGTCAGGGTGTGGGAGGTAACCAATCGATGTGTCTCTCACATCAATGTTTCTCTCCTCCTCACTTCCACTTTCTAAAAATCAATGGAAAAACATCCCCGGGTAAGGATTTTAAAAAACATAAAAATATGTATATATAATAGATAAGTAATTGTCAGCAACATTTGTTTAGGAAAAGTAATGGTTATTTTGTTTTGAAAATCTGGCTTGCTATGAATAAATTTAATGTTTTCTGATTTTGTTATTTAAATTTGACCAAAAGCGTAATTTATAAATGTATTTTCATAGGAGAAAATCTTGAGGAGGCTTGTGCAACCAAGGAAAAAATCCAAGAAGTCAACATTGAAGATATTTGTGTTAATCTAGAGTCAGGAAAACCTGAAATAGAAAAGAAACATCATAGAAATGTGGAATTTCAAGATTTAAAAAAAGAGCAAGTACACAAAACAAAAGATCCAACCAATGATGTTAAAACCCCCAACACAGGAACTAGAGAGGGTTGCTTAATTAAATATAATGTGTCTACTACACCATACTTGCAAAGGTAAGCTTTTTAAATTTGTTTTTATGCTTAGGAATAATAAATATGGTATTTTAAAATCTTTGAGCTAGCTTCTGTTTAGAACTATTTGTTAACAAAATAGTTTTATTTTTTTTAATTATTATTTTTTAAATAAGTCTATTATTCAGATTATTACAAGTGTTCCTCTTTTTTCCCTCCATAGCTCCCCTCCACCAGGTTCCTACTCTACCCTCTGCCCTTACCCCCACACCTCTTTTCCCCAAGAATTGTCAGTCCACTCCTTTTCTAGGCCCCCGATTCTATTTTATTCACCAGTTTATTCTGTTTATCAGATTTTTTATTCACTTGATTTTTAGAATCACTTGTTGATAGATATGTATTTGTTATTTTTTTTCTTTTATTAATTTTTTACAGAGAGGAAGGGAGAGAGATAGAGGGCTAGAAACGTCGATGAGAGAGATACATCGACCAGCTGCCTTTTGCACACCCCCAACCGGGGATGTGCCCGCAACCAATGTACATGCCCCTGACTGGAATCAAACCCGGGACCTTTCAGTCTGCAGACTGATGCTCTACCGCTGAGCCAAACCGGTTTCGGCTGTATTTCTTATTCACAATTTTTACCTTTACCTTTTTCTTCTTTCTCTTCTTAAAGAATACTTTCAGCATTTCATATAATTCTAGTTTGGTGGTGATGAACTCCTTTAGCTTTTTCTTGTCTGTGAAGCTCTTTATCTGACCTTCAATTCTGAATGATAGCTTTGCTGGGTAGAATAATCTTGGTTATAGGTTCTTGCTATTCATCATTTTAAATGCCATTCCTGTCTGGCCTGCATAGTTTCTGTTGAGAAATCAGCTGACAATTATATGGGTGCTCCCTTGTAGGTAATAACTTTTTCTCTTGCTGCTTTTAATATTCTTTCTCTTTTGCTCTTGGCATTTTAATTATGATGTGCCTTGGTGTGGTCCTCCTTGGATTCCTTTTGTTTGAGGTTCTGTGCGCTTTCTGGGCTTGTAAGTCTATTTCTTTCACCAGGTGGGGGAAGTTTTTGGTCACTATTTCTTCAAATAAGTTTTCAGTATCTTGCTCTCTCTCTTCTTCTTGCACCCCCATAATTCTGATGTTGGTATGCTTGAAGCTGTCCCAGAGGCTCCTTACACTATCTTCATATTTTTGGATTATTTTTTTCTTTTTGCTTTTCTAGAGGAGAGTTTTTTGCTTCTTTGTATTTCAAATATTTGTCTTGATTTTTGCAATCCTCTAGACTGCTTTTTGGTCTCTGTGTAATATTTTTTATTTCAGTGTATCCTTAATTTCTAGTTGATCCTTTTTCATATCCTCGAGGGTCTCACTAAATTTATCGGCAATTTCTAGAAAATTCTTGAAAAACCATATATCCAGAACTCTATATCAGTCTTTTGTTTTCCTCCATTTCCTTCATTCCTCTTTTTCTCTGCATTTTAGCTGCTTCTCTGAGTTGATGGAGTAGCTTTGTGTGCTAGGTGTCCTAGTAGGGCCCAGTGGCTCAGCCTCCCCAGTTACCTGAGGTGAACACTCTTGATGTTGCCCTTTTGTGGTCTGTGTGTGCAGTCTTGTTGTAGTTAAGCTTAGATTATTGTTAATATCACTGGGGGGAGTTGACCTCCAGGCCAATTGTCTGTGAGGATCAGCTGTGTCTGTGCTCAGCTTCGATGGGGAGGAGTCTCAAGGTGGAGCAGACAGACTTCGTTTCCCTTTAGCTCCGCCCTAAGAGGCCCCTGTGTCTCAGTGTCCTGCAGCAATGGCTGCAGGCACCACTGAGAGAAGGCTGCTCTGAGTTTCACTCGCTGCCAGACAGTCCAGTTTCTCCCTGAATGAGTCTGGGTACACAAAGTATCACGCGAAACTGGAGTTCAGTGCAATCAGGAGGTTTTGTTTCTCTCCCAAACAAGACAGTTAGCCGCACACTTGCTGCCTGCTCTCTGCGCACACCAAAAGTCAGCCAGCTGCGTATTCAGCCGTCCACCCTTACAGCTCCTCTGAGTCTCATTGTCCTTTTATCTGTCCTTCTAGTTGTAGAATTTCCTCTCAGCCAGCTTTCTGGTGGTTCTGGAGGATGTCTGCTGTCTTCCAGTTGCAGTTTTGAAATTGTTGTGGGAGGCATCAGTGTAGGTGTTTACCTATACCGCCATCTTGGTTTATTAACAGAATGGTTTTAAATAAATCAAATATTGAGACATCACCTTTTAAATACTGCATTTGTTTGCTTTTCCCCATTTTAAAAAAGAAAGTTTTTACATCATCTCAATTTGCTGATTGTTGATAATAGTAGGATTTGGAACTTAACAATTAGCCAATTCTACAGATATTCAAGTATCTACTGTATACAAGTTGTAATAAAAATTGAGAGAAGAATAAACTCTTTGTTTTAAGAAACTCCCAGTACCTCTCTGTAAGACAATCACATGGTTATAACACAAGTTATGACATGACAAATATTAGGTCTAGTAATAATTAATGTCGTTTTCTAATACTTTTTTAAAATCGAATTTATTTAAACAATACAACAAAATTTAATCAACAATATAGTTGCCGTTGTTTTCTACTACTTGTGCCCAACGCTCAGGAAGCACTTTAATCCCTCTGTTGTAAAATTCTTGTGATTTTGATGCAAAAAATTCGGTCAATGCATTTTTGAGGCATTCTTCATTATTAAATTTTTTTCCAAGAAGAAAGTTTTGCAAAGAACGAAACAAATGGTAATCGGAAGGGGTAATATGAGGAGAATAAGCAGGTTGAAGGAGAACTTCCCATTCCAACTGGCGCAGTTTTTCAGCAGTGATTCTTGCAGTATGCGGTCGTGCGTTATCGTGGTGAAGAATTACGCCCTTCCGATTAATCAGCGCGGGTTCTTTTTCTCTTAAAGCTTGGGCTAACCTTTCCAATTGGGCACTATACACTGCACTTGTAATGGTTTGGTTAGATGGTAAAAGTTCATAATGAAGAATTCCTTTAAAATTCCACCAAACACACAACATCACTTTTTTCGCATGCAAGTCAGGTTTTAGCGTGGGCTGCGGAGCCTCATTTTTGTCCAACCATTGAGGCCGCCTTTTCAAATTAACAGACAGCTCCCATTTTTTATCTCCGGTAACAATTTGCTCTAAAAACGGCAAACGGTTTTGACGAGAGAGGAGCGAACTGCAAATTGTGACTCTTTGATTACGGTTGTTGTCGGTCAACTCATGAGGAACCCATTTTCCAAACTTGGACTTTGCCAAGTGCACGCAATTGATTGGAAATTGTTTTTTGTGAACAATTTAAAGTTGTCGCAAGCTCTTGTTGGGTAATTTGAGGATTTTGCACCAAAAGAGCTTGAAGAGCTTCTTGATCAAAATTGGACACACGGCCTTGACCACTCTTGTCATCTAACGAAAAATTTCCCTCGCGAAATTTCTCAAACCAACGCTGGCATTTTCTGGCGCTAACTGCATCTTGACCAAGAGCACTACAGATGTTTTTTGCAGCCTCACTTGCTTTTCTTCCTAATTGGAACTCGTAAAGCATGCAGTGCCGAATATGCTCTTCATCCGCCATCTTCTTAGCCCTAGTTTTGCAACAAAAACCAAACCAAACACAAACTTTTTCAAGCAAAACTTGTTAATTGCACTTCACACGTTCTGTAGATACCACGTGTTTGAAGGTTATGTCAATACAAGTCAACGCCAAGCAAGATTTTAAACGAATGTTTAAAAACGACATTAAGTATTACTAGACCCGATAGCATCAAAATACAAAGTAAAAATGTTGATATGTTTTTTAACTCTGGGAATAATTTTGTGGGTTTTTTTGTTTGTTTGTTTGTTTTAGTGTAAAAAAGAAAATGCAGCTTGACGAAATAAATTCTACATTTAAAGAGCTCAAGTTTCTAACACCAGTTAGACGTTCTCAGCGACTTCAAGACAAGACTTCTAAATTGCCCGATATGTTGAAAGACCATTATCCTTGTGTGTCTTCATTGGAACAGTTAACAGAGTTGGGGGATGAAACTGATGCTTTTATATGCCGCCCTAATGCAGCACTGTTCCGGATGACTTTGGAGACTGAAACAACAGAAGAGAAATAAAACTATGATAAGAAATAAGGGTTTTACTATTCCTAGGGTGTTGGTGGTGGCTTCATATGTCTTAGTTCAAAAGCTGGCCAAGTTGCCTAAGTATTCATGGCAGTAAACTCTATATATAATATTCACATAATAGATGTTGCCTTCTGTTTGTCAGATAGTTAGATCTTACATTGTCTATCTCAACTATATGTCTATGTCAATCTTTAGATTAAGATTTTCTCTAAGGTAGCTAAATTTTGTCAACTAGTTTACATTGTTCTTTTAATATAATTACTAAATATTCTATTTTCAGTGGTATTTCTAAAATAGCATACTTAAACTTGTTTTGTAATATAAAAACTTAATTGTTGGATCATGTCCCCTAAAACATGATAGTTATATACAGTATACAATTCTCTTCTTCCTACACACATAAATACCACTAATAAATTTGTTTATGTCTTTGAACTGATATTTAAATAGCATTTATCCTCTACCAGGTCCGTGTTTTCAAATCAGTAATTGGCCATTGTAAGAGCTTAGGTAATTTTAAAACTAATATGAATGTGGTTGAAAATCACATGCTTGGGCTCATTTATGTTCATATATTCCATTTATGTAATAGTACCTTCCATTGTCTTCTCATGTTCTAGATAGTTTTATTCTTTTTTAAACTGCCTAATATGTAAATAATAAATTAACATATCTATATGATGATGTTCCAGTGCTATTTATTTCAACAAATATGAAATGTAGTTTAACCACAGTGAATAAATTAAAACCTCACCTTTGGAAATTATAGTGGAATTTGACTTGAGGTTTTCAACTTAAAAGTATGTGCTTAATGGTTATTTTCTTTTGAAAATAATCTACTTCTCTAAAATTGTACCTTAATTTTTATCATAATTATTTTTTTAAAATAACTTGATTTTTAGAGATAGAGGAAGGGAGAAAGGAATAGAAACATTGATGAGATCAATTGGCTGCCTCTTGCATGCCCCCTTCTGGGAATAGAACCTGCAACCTGGGTATGTGCCCTGACAGGGAATCAAACCAACGACCTCTTGGTGTGTGGAATGACCCTCAACCAACTGAGCCACACTAGCCAGACAATTTTTACCTTAATTCTTTAGTTTATTCTTTTCATACTTTGTACAAGTGGCATAAAATATGCCATTTTGAAATAAACTTGAAGTTGGCTTATACACTGAGCTTTTTAACCAGTTAATTACCACACGTCCAAGACAGAATCCATCCCCACACACCATATTTTGAATTTAATTTTAAAAATCAATTTGCAACGAATATTATAAAAAGATACTGCAATTTGGGTGTTTTTGAATATTTTCAGCTGAAAATTCTCACGAAAAATGATTTTAAAGCTGCCACTTAGGGAAAATATATATATATATATATATATATATTTTTTTTTTTTTAATAGACTTATGTCGTGTGTGGGGAAGGTCCATTGCTTTCATTTACAGACACTTGTGGCATACAATGGGTTAATATCTATAGCATAAGGGCCCTGAAGTTTAATAGATTTATGAGTTTTGCAGTTTAACTGGCCTATATTCAAAATCTCAGCTTCTAAAGTTATGTGGCCATGGAGAATTTACTCTTTCTGAAGTGGAGAAAATCCTCTCTGGTCATTTTGTACCATGTTATCTGCCTATCCCTGTGGTTGATAGGCCAAAATAGACACAGCACCCAACTGAACTGTCAATATCCTTTTCATAGTTACTTGGAATCAGCGGAGTTAGTTTTTTCTATGTAGTTAGACCTAAAATAGGTAAATATGAGGCACTGGGCAACCACATTAAGTTTTAGTAGCAAAGATTACTAGTCAATGGAACAACAAAGTACCTTGGGAAAAGTAGACTCCTGCCCGGGGTTTCCTGAATCAATTGTGAATTCAGATCAGTACATGCATATGTGGGTTTTGTTTTGTTTTGCTTTGTTGGATGTAAATGGCACAATACTTCACATGTGGCTCTGCAACTTTTTTTTCCTAATTGACTTAAGGAACTCTCATTGATATAAATCAGTGTAACATCCAGTTTACACAGGAGTTCAGTAAATGATAAATTTTACATTTCAATACAGTAGAGAAAATGGTTATGAATCAGTGATGCATTTTGAGAAGAAATTTCAATCTACCACTTGCAAAAATAAGTTCCAGATAGCATAAGTAGTTTAAGTATATTAGAAGGAAATGCAAAATACATTTTTTTCCTTAGGATAGGGCTTTCTTAAGCAAGACAATTTTATAAAGGAATCCTTAACAATGAAGAGTGAGGTGGAGCACACAGATTTTAGCAGCAGGACAAGTTCCATCTCTGAGTACAAGTGCAAGACATTCAGGAGCCAGATCAGTTAACACATCTGGGATCCTCAAAATACTCTGAGAAAATGGATGTGAAGCTCGACTTCAATGCCCAAGATATTCAAATTTGAGAGCAGATAATATTTTCAGATATGCAAGGATTCAGTTTACTGTCCCTGAACTTACCTCAAAGTATTCCTATAAGGTTTTATTCCAGTGAATAAGTAAATTAAGATTTAAAGTCATTAAATCAAACTTTAGGGAGAACCAAGATGGTGGCATATGAAAACACTAGTATTTGCCACCTCCCACAACCACATCAAAATTACAACTAAAATACAGAACAACCATCATTCAGACCCACCTGAAAGCTGGCTGAATGGAAGTCCTACAACTAGAGACGTAAAGAAGAAATGGAGACTGGTAAGAGGGGCAGAGGTGTGGAGATGGCTGGTCTAATACCTAAGTCTGGTGTGTTTTTTTTCAATTGGGAGGGATATCTAGAGTGTGGAGGAGCAAGGGGTCCAGCCCCACACCCGACCCTCAGCCCAGGGTTCCAGAACTGGGAAAAGTCCTCGTAACTTTGGGCTCTAAAAACCAGTGGGGATTGTGGCTAAGTGACACAGAGGCTGCTGAAAACCCAGGCAGTTCCTCTTAAGGGATCTACACATGAACTTACATGGACTCACTCACTCTGAGTTCCAGCATTGGGGCAGTAGCTCTAGGGGATCCAGGGACATATGGGGAAGAACTGGATTGTCTGACATCAGAGCAAGAACTCAGGGGTGGCTTTCTCCCAGACAGGGGTGCTTGCAGGGGTCATTGTTCCTATGCTAAGACCACCCCCCCCCCTATCGAAGAACTGATGAGCAGCCATATCTGAGTTCCCATCAGTCTGGCTCACACTGTTTACTCCACCCTGGTAATTCCCTGAGACCCCCATCCCATCCAATTGGCAGCCCCACCCAAGCTGTTTGAATGGCCAGTCCTGGCTCAGGCTTCAGAGTTTCCTAAAACCTCTCAAACATGCAGCAGCTGGCGTCAGTGTGCTCTCTTCTTTCTGATTAATAATAGGCCCAAGATGGCTTGATCTCCCCTGGGCACCTCCAACCCTAAAACAAGTAGCAGCCATCTGCATATCATTCATAGTTCCTGCTGGGTGGTCCCAGACAGTGACTGACTGTACCTCCTGGGAGGCCCCAAAGCCAGTGCACCCAGTGGACAGCTTTAGACTATACAAAATTACCACTCTACACATCCACAAGTGATACACCCAAGGAGCACCAAAGCCCCAGTGAAACAAGTTCTGCTCCATAAGGATATCTCCTACACCATAACTCTTCCACTGTAGTCAGAACTGGTCCTCACAGCCAATTGGCCTGGGGGTCAACTCCTCCCAGTGATGCCAACAGCAGTCAAGGCTCAACTACAACAAGAGTGTGTAGCCCACACAGGAGCACACCTAGAGTGTCTAGGTCAGGTGAATGGGGAGGCTGAGCTATTGGGCCCTACAAGACACCTGCTGTACAAGGCCACTTTGCTAATTCCAGGAGACATAGCAGCTCTACCTAATACATAAAAACAAACACAGGGAAGCAGCCAAAATTCTGATACAAAGAAACATGTCACAAATGAAAGAAGAGAAGAAATCTTAAACACACACACACACACACACACACACACACACACACACACACAATTAAATGAAATGGAAGCAAGCAAACTACTAGATAGACTTCAAAACAATGGTTATAAGGTTGAGAACTTCAAGGGACTTAGTGAGACTTTCAAGGATCTTAGTGTTAAAGACATGAAAAAGGACTAGTCAGAAATTAAGCATATACTTACTGAAATAAAGTATAATATACAAGGATTTAACAGTAAAGTTGAGTATTCTGAGAATCAAATCAATGATTTAGATGATGAGGAAGCAAAATATACTCAATCTGAAGAGCAAAAAGAAAAAAGAATCCAAATATATGAAGATAGTGTAAGGAGCCTCTGGGAAAACTTCAAGCATACCAACATTCACATTATGGTAGTGCCAGAAGGAGAAGAGAGAGAGCAAGAACTTGAAAACCTATTTGAAGAAATAATGACAGAAAACTTCCCCTAACTGGTAAAAGAAATAGACTTACAAATCCAGGAAGTGCAGAGTTCCAAATAAGAGGAACCCAAAGAGGCCCACACCAAGACACATCATAATTAAAATGCCACAGGTTAAAGACAAAGAATTTTAAAAGCAGCAAGAGAAAAGCAGTTAGTAAATAAAAGAAAAATAAGAAAAGATTAAACATATGAACAATAAATACATATCTACCAACAATTAAATCTAAAAATCAAAATAAACAAAGAATCTAATGAACAAAATAAACTGTTAATAAAATCGAAACAGGCATGGAAACATGGAAGAGATTGACAAATCTCAGAGGGAAGAGGGGAGAAGGGGCAGGAAGACATTAACCAAAGAAATTATAGGCTTATATGCATTACTTATGGACACAGATAATAGGGTGGTGAAGGCTTGGGGTGGGGTGGGAACAGTGGAGGGGGGCAATAGAGAAAAAAGAGGGAGACCCCTGTAATACTCAACAATATTTAAAAAATACAGTCACATCAAATCAAACAAAATTGAAGTCTACATAATTATAGGTTAGAAAACAATTATGTGAAATGAAGATACTATAATGAATTC